GGGGGGGGGAAATGTTTCCATCTTCAGCTCCAAAAATGTAGGCAACATGAAACTGAGCCCTTCTTGAGACGCTTCCAATTGTGCAGCTACTCAAGAGCTTCCCAGCATTTTATGGAACCTGAAGGTTCATTACTGTGTTCACAAGAGGCCTTCACTGGTCCCTGTCCATTTTTCTGAAATGTCTGTATCTGCCTACAAGGCTATAAGGTGTCACAATCCAGAATACAAAAATCTGAACATTCACTGCCATAAAAATATCAAAATCTATATACATGGAAGGACAATAATAAATTGTGAATTTATAATATTTCCATAACAGGAGTGCTACTAGAACCCAGTGTTCAACATTACATACAACAGTACATAGTTGTCTTTCTAGGTAACAAGGCAGACTGATGATGATAGATTTAAATCACATATACTATACTGCATCACAAGGAAAGACAGGATAATTTGCAGTTTACTGTACTTACTGATAGACCAGTGACTGCCCATGGAGTGGGAGACTATAATTTGATTTTTGGCAAGACCGAATCACCATCACGCCCACAACAGCTTTGGAACCTGCAAGCTATTTACTATCTAACACATACCGAAGGCTGAAAGGGCAAAGTAACTGGAGTATGACTCAAAACACTCACTTCTGTAACACTTACAGTGAATATGGTTTATGTGTATGAAAAGCTGTATCAAGTCCAAGAAGATGTAGGAAAAATACAATTTTATCTTGATTAAGTTTTTAATTAAGAACAGCATCTGTCTTGGCATGGTTCAGAACCTTCCTGAACACCTATGTATCAAGCCTTGTTGTGGATCTTCTTCCAGAGTAATCTTCAACTTCAGAGCCATACATGTCTATATATAAACATGGTTTCCACTTGCACCTGAACAAAAATGTGAAAGGTTTATCTCACTGTTAACTAACAATGCTTCTGAGACATAGAAGGCTGCTTTGGTGAAACAGCCATACTACATCTGTGAGATTGTGTTAGTCATTTCATCTTCTTATCCACAAATGGCAACATTATGCTCCTGTGGTATTTCCATTACCAAAAATTACTAAAAATTTATTACTACATACCAAGGAAGATCTAAAAATAAGGTAACAATGCAATTGCAGGGACTTGCTGCAATTTACATGTTGCAGCAAGATTAGGCAGTGTTACATTTAAAGAAGTCTTCAAGGTTGACATTTGAGGTTCTCATCGTGGTGGATATTAAAATTACTGTTTCCTGCAACGTGTAGTTTGGTAGATAGAACTCATCATTTTGGATATAAACCTGCTCCTTCCATCTTAGGGGTACCCAAAACTTCACTCTTTTACCAAACTACATAAGATTACATAAGATACATAGCCTTAATCTTATGACTTCAGAGAAATAAAGATAAGTACGTTGATAAATTACGTATTAAAACAACAAACCTTTGGCAAACATGGGAAGTATGTCAGGACTTCCCCAGGACCATGTGTACTGACTTTCATTGAAAACAGAGTCAAATTCTACTGCATTGTCTTTCCAACCCTAGAAAAAATAAAATATAATAAATAAAGAATAAAAATAATAAAACAAAAGGATAGAGAACATACAACCGTAAATACTTTCTTTTTTAACCATACAGTGAATGGCCTGCACTGTGACTGTATTTACGGGCATAACATGAAAGATAAAACATACTATTTCAGGAATGTTCTGGATTGTTCCTGGAGAACTGTTGGGCAAAAGTGTACTCTTTGTTAGATCTGAGTTTCTCGGATTGGTGACTATGAGGAGAACTCTCTTTTGAGATGACACTATGTACTCTGTTAAAAGTTTACTGACATTTCACAGGAATGTGCTGCTTCCATCTTCAGGGTCAAGAAGTAAACTGAGCAAGTAAATAAGCAAGTAAACAAGCAAGCAAATTTTCTACTGTTTGCTTGGCTTACTCATTGACCCTGAACATATAGGTACTACATTCCTCCAAAAAATGGCTAAACTCCTACCAGATGAATAATATTACATCCCAGAATCCAACACTTTTCAAGTATATTTTTTCTTTACACACAGTAAACAATAAGCAACAATGTAAGATTGTTGTCACAGTGGTGAATGTTTGAATTTGGTCTTTTGGAATATGACAGTATATTACTGTAGATGGTTACCAATGTTTTGGAGGAACCTGCTGCTGTACCCTTTTCGGGTCAATGAGATTGGGGAAACATGCCTTGCCCAGACAACCTTGCCTCAATCCTTTAGATGGAGGCAGCATGTTCCTTTGAATTAATACACAATTAAAGAACTAATGACTATGCCACCCTGCATGGTCAAAGTACAATGACCCTTGTATCCACCTAAAGGAATATATGGAATCACAACCTAGAATATGCAGTGACTTAACAACATATTGACTGTGTACACATGTCACTGGATTTGAAGTTCATTAACAGTTACTGCATCTAACATGCAATTCCAGTATATTCAAACCTCATGAACTGTCCAAGAATGTAGGTTCTATTTAAAATTACTAACCCTAAGTTAAACCAGTCTAACTTACTTGAAGCAACTGTAAGCCTGGTTTAAAGACACACTCAATTCTGACATAGAAAGTTAATTAAAAATTATAAGAATAAAATCACTCATCACAATTTATAACCTTGGCTACAGCAAATGGGTCCTCATATAATCCAGCAATTAATGCCACATGTCCAGGGCGCGATTCTGTTGGTACTCTGGTATGAGAGACGCCCCATGCTCCCCTCTCCTGCAACCAGTCAAGTTGTCAAAAAATTTAGGTTATGTTCATTAACTATAACACAATAACGTTCTAACTTCTCTGCTGCTGCATACCTGAAGTGTGAGGCATTCACTTTAAATAAATCATCTGCCCCAAAAAAGGAATCAGCACGTAAACCATCAGCAACAATTAAAACAAGCCTGCGTGCAGGAGCTTCTAGAGGACTGGACTGTGGTATAATGTCATGAACTACTGGCGATTTGAAATAAATACCAAATACAGATACTAAAAATGCAATATGAACAAAGAAACTACTAATGATGAGAAACAATGTCGAGAATATGCGTTCAAAATGCCCATTAAACCAATCTTTTCCAGGATACGATAACAAACGGGATATGCATACAAAAGTAAAGCAGGCAGGGATGTCTCTATTTCAGAGGAAGGACGACAGCCAGAAAATTAAATGGACAGAGAAACTGGTTTCTAATTCAAACTCAAAACCTACATAGTGTCAATTTGAGGGAAGGAGAAAGAAAAAAGAAAAAAGAAAGAAAGAAAGAAAAATAAAGACAGAAAAATAAACTGGCATCATAATCATAACATCAACATGATGTACATAGACCTAGAAAGAGAAGATTTTACATGTCACGGTCTACATATAAGAAATTCTGGTAAAGACAAGCTAGTAACGCTACTAATGGAAAAAATTGAAATGCAGCTGCAGGAAATACAAATTGGAATGCGGATTAGTTTAACATAGAAGGAGGACGCAACAATAATCTCAGCTGATGATCAGGGAATAGCCAGTGTAGTGTCGCAAACTATTCCACCTACAAGACGTCGGAAGATCCCAAATACGAGAAGTGAGGATTCTTTATGGGAATAACTCAAAATGGAAACAATAGTCAGCAGAATTCTCTTGTCATATATCATAAAAATATAAGAAGCATTAGAAATAAAAAAGAAGAATTGACTATTTTTTAAATGATGTATATAATAATCCTGATATTTTATGTAT